GGACAAATAACGTCCAACTCATAATCTAATCTAATCTACCTACATGAAAAAATCATCATAATTATATTACTAAAAAAATATACCTACATATTTACGTATTTTTTTAACATAATACTCTGACAATACTGGTAAGTTTAAAACTCTACGCCACTGGCAAGCATATTATGGACACTGTTTACAACGTTGCCAGCCAGTCATAAGAGATCTATCTTTCTCTCTTCCACTTACTAACAATTTTAAAACAACAGTCCGCAATTGTATGGGATTTATGAATGAAACATTTTGTCTATATGCTGTAATGTCTTTGGGGAATACCTACATCGTTTGAAAGGGTTTCGAAAGATACTTCAAATAACGTTAAAATATATTTGGTGTTCTATTTAAAATAACGAAGTTTTTAGTGTTTAAATCTACGTATAATAAATAGTACTTCGTAAACACCCTATATAATATTTTTGATCAGTAAGTATTTGAGGTTACAGCCCAGAAGACGCTTAATGTACCTTAAAAAAATCAATTTGAAATATTAAAAAAAGTAGGATATATTTGCATTTTTTAAAAACCCGAAAATTTTGAAAATCCTCGAATACATCAAAAATGATAGACTCTAGGTATAACAACCCCTTAACAAAGTTACACTAATTTTCTTTATAGATTTCAAAAATGCAATAAAATATAGGGTGTCCCGATTAAAAAAACCTAACTTTGATATATTCCAATTTCCTGGAGCAACCTGTATTATTGAAATTATTTTTAAATTGTTGCATTTTCTAATATACATCTTACCGTAAAAACAGATTTTTTTAAAAAAGTTTAGTTTTGGATATACAGACCGAGGCGTTACCGGTGGACCACCCTGTATAGATTCGAAACTAAAATTAATAAAATATGAGTACAAATTATAAAAATAAGATAATATATAAAATCTTAGTCATTAATTACAAACAATTTTAAAAATTTAAACAAAAAACTAAACAACATAAACTTTTGATATGTTCTTTAAATATTTTAAAATTAGAAAGAGTAGTACATTCTTTATAAATGCAGGTGTAGTCCATCCAAACAATAAGTCAACTATAAAGGAATACCGCAAACGCAAAAAAAGTTCTGCACCTGTTTGAATAATTCGAAAAAAAATTGGTATAGGGAACGGGTTGCTTGTCGGAAGTCAGCTAAACTAACTCTTTGATAGACCGCCCATAGACGGAGATATATGTTTTTACTTAATAATTTAATTATATGTACGTATTATAGGTATATGTTTCTGTCGATTTGAAGATTTAAAATAGTAATTTTTTATATACATATAAACCTAATTAGAATAAAATAAGTAGGATTTATAACTGATGTTTTCCTTCAACGATTTCAGTGTTTTTGATAAAATTTTGCATTTTTTCTCCAAGAAGCGTGAATAGCTTTGTCGGTATACTGCCTCTGTAAGTATATTGTTTTTGGCGGTGTATCGCCTTTGACGGCTATTGCCTTTGTCGGCATATTGTCTTTGTCGGCATATTGTCTTTGTCCATTTAAAGAGCCGAATTTTTAACCAATGCCGAAAAGGAAAATGAAACGTATTTGAATAAAAATAATTATTTTTACTTTCAGTGGAGTTTTGTTCATCTTAGTGACCTGTTGAGTTTTGTACGGATAACAGCTCCTGCATCGTACTTTTTAAAATTTTATAGAATATTAGTTTCTGTTTTATTAGTGTTTAGTTTCGTTTTATCAATAATCAGTTTGTGTTTTGGAGGTTATATAGTAATTTTAATAAACGAATAATAATTTTTGTGTATGTGTTATTAACTATGTGGAGACCGTGGGATAGTATTCCGAGCACCAGTACATCAAACAGTGATGGAGAAACTAATGCAGTGCCTACGCAAATAAAAAATAAACTCTTTTTAAATGAACAGTCCCAGCAAATTTGTTTAAATGTTTATAAAAATTTGTTAAAACGTGGATATATCGAAAACACTTCTACCGTGCAATAAGCAGCGTTTCTTACTGGTATATCGGTTTATAAAATGAACCAAATTATAAAAAATGGAATTTCCAGCAGAAAAGTCCGTGCAGACAAAGGTGTGCAAAAATTAGATCCATCCATGGCCAAATCCATTGTGAATACAGTGTATGAACTTTATAAACAAAATACCATTCCCACTCTTGATATTATACATAGACGCTTAAGTGAAACTTATTTCGATACAAATATAAAAAAGTCTACATTGTATAATTGGCTAAAAAAAATGTTTTAAATACAAAACGATAGATAAAAGAAGCGCAGTGATGGAAACAAGACGAATAGTAAACTGGAGAAATTCTTATTTACAGAAAATTCGTGAATGTAAAAATGAAAGCAGGTCAATTTATTTTCTGGATGAAACGTGGTATGATTCGCATGATACTGCAAAAAAGGGCTGGACAAACGATAATAAATATTGCCAAGCCTTAGGTATCCCTCCAAATAAAGGCACTCGACTGATAATATTAAACTGTGGCTCAGAGGACGGTTGGGTTGACAATGCCTTACTATTAATTGGAAAAAAATTGATAGCTGCCAGATTGATTACCATTCAAATATGAATTCCGATATTTTTGAAGAATGGTTTACGAATTCACTGTTGCCTAATTTAAAGCCAAAAAGTGTAATAGTTATGGACAATGCTTCATATCACTCCAGGCTTAAGCAAAAAATACCTAATAAAAACTCTAAGAAAGATGAAATTCAAGAATTTTTAATGAATCACGATTTGTATTTTGATGAAAAATATAAAAAAGATGAACTTTTGGAAGTCCTAAAAACTAAAAATTTTGAAAAAAGTATATAGTTGATGAAATTGCAGCTGAAAGAGGTCATACAGTTTTAAGGTTACCACCATATTTTTGTATTTTCAATCCTATAGAGTTACTCTGGAGCCAATTGAAACAAAATATTCGGAGAAAAAATATATTTCCCAAATTTGATTCTCAGGTCGTCAACTTGATCAAAGAACAAATGGATGCGATCGGAAAATCGCAGTGGGAAGCAGTTATAAAACATGTGTATGAAATAGAAGAGGAATACAGGAACAACAGCGGCATACACGTAAATAATGGAGAACGATTTATCATAAATCTCAATGAGGATGACGACGACGATGATATAATTAGTGATAACGAGGAGAAGGAAGACGAGGAGCAGGAATTTGGAAACAATGAGAAAATCTGAGTTAAATCAGCAATATGTAAGTCACATTTTATTTTATAAGTCGGTCTATGTTTAGGTTATTTCTACATTTACTTTGTAATTTCAATTTTAAAATATTTTTTATAACTAAATTATTAAAATGTTGACGTTCGTATTCGTTTACTAATCGAGAAGTCACTTGGGAAGTAACCCAACCAGTAGAGATATGTTTTAAATATAACCAATTAAGTCAATTATTTCCTACCTATTTATATAAGAAGGTAGGTATGTCACGCAGAATTGATATAAAATAAGAAACCTTTATTTCGAAAGAATTGGAAATGCATTAATTAAAATATTTATTCCAGAGACGGCATTTTATTTTTCTGAAAAAAATTATATACCGACAGTCGATAATTTCAATAGACACTTTGCATTTGGTATATATTTATATCAGTTTTTAATTTTGTATCATACTTGGAACGCAGTACCTATATTTCTACTTGTAGGTATATTGTTCATAATCGAATCCTCAAATTGATTGATTATGAATCTATTTTTCACTTTGTAAAATTATTTATTAGATCTATTTTATATAATAAATCGTAAAAATTGAAATATATGGTAATAATTAATGTTTAAAATACTCCAACCAATTAAATTAAATAATAAACTGACTTAACGATGCGACGACACTGGCTTCTTCTTACTTTGCAGATACTTCTGACTACAATGCCACACGACACGATATTCCAGTCTGTCTACACAGGTTATCAGTTCATTTCAGCGACGTAGAGAGAAATAATAAACTGGACTACTATATTCCAATTCGGAGTTGAATTAATAATTTTTAGTATTAAAATAAGTGTATTACTATCGTCCAGGGGCATAATAATGACATACTCCTGGTAGAGACTCCTTTTTAGATGTATTCATACATAATATTTAGTGAATTTTTTTTTTTTGAAGCATCTTCAAACGGAAGCCGAACTTTTTTTCCCATTATCGGTATTTCTTTGTAGTTGACTTATTGTTTGTATGGACTATAATTGATTAAACTTGTAGAAACCTTAAAACAACAGTAAATTCATTGTGCTTCGATAAACCGTTCTACAGGCAACTAAGAGCAAAAATGCTCCAAAGGACTCAAAACGGAGAAAACAACTTTCGCATTAAGTATTTCCACGATATTTCAAAAATAATAAAAATTGAACCACAAAAAAATGTGCACTAACTGATACCAATGTTGTCCAAATAATCTAGCAGAAAGAAACCACCCACCACCAACGAAACAAAGGGGTGCTACTCCAGACTATCTTTGTGTCAAATTTCATCCTGGTTCGTTAGGCCATTCTGGCGTGATAGAGTAACAAACATCCATTCATACATCCAAACTTTCGCATTTATGTATTAGTAGGAATTTTCTTACGTATAAACATACCATTGTACAAATATAGTGGAAATAAAGAGGGTCTTTTCCGTCATAGGGCCAAAAATATTCAACTCTTTGACAGAAAATATCAAACAGATGAACATAAAAACCTTTTCTAAAGACATCAAAAAATGCATAAGCTGCAATTTCATAAATCTTGCAAACATGTTATAAATAGTACGTAACTTTATGTATATTCACTCATCACATTGTCTATGTTTATAATAACTCTACATTTCTACTCTATAATGTTTATATCTCTTACCACACACAGTTGTTTTACACCTAAGAGCATATTATTTTATGTATTTTATAGATTTGCATATTATCTATATGTCATTAGATATATATAAAAATAAAAAATAGTCTAATGCAAATATTTTAAAACACCAAATAACTTACCTATGTTCTTCAATGTGCCCCAATTCCATCTGATATCTAATATTACAATAATGGAAATCTTGGTATAAGTACCCATAACCTTCATGGTACTCTTTGGATTCATAACACAGTGCATACATTACAGCAAATGGCAACCCTGCTTGGAAAGGCTCAGCATTACTACAAAAACAAATATATAAATAATTTGTTACTTGTTAAAAAAAAACATTTTTAAATATACCTGTATGATACCCAAATGTAACAAAACGCTCTCGGGTCGTCTGTAGGTTCTTGCAAAGCAAAATTTGTAACCGGTATATGTTCATCGCAAACCGGTGATGTGTAAACCAGTTTTAGACTGGTTAGATTCCAAAGCTGGAAGGCGCCAAAATTATAGCCTATTAATAACGAAGTGAGTTGTGAGCAATAATATACAGCACTTATTAAAACTTCTTCTCTGTTTACATGTATATGATCGTCACCTAAAATAAATAAAAAAATTCACACATTTTAACATTAAAGCAAAATGGTATATCAATGCAATTCAATGCTATAGTTTGTGATTCAGATAATTATACAGTAAACATGGTTGCTGAGTATTCGGCATCAGTATTTTTGGATTGTCTCTGATTTGTATAGGTTACCTAGCAGTAGTGATGACCTATCTGCTTTAGAAATTAAAAGCAGAGGGAGGACGTAAATTTTGATTCAATAAATAACAAATTTTCAACATTAGCATGGAACTAGCGTATTTATGACATTAAAATATGATAATTTTGTAATAAATATTTTAAATGTATTAGATTCTGTAGCGCTAAAAAAACAAATAAAAATATTTCCAAGATACAAAAAGTGGTGGAATGAAAAAATAAAAACAAAAACAGAAAATAATTGGAATGAATATAAAATATATAGAAATAGGGCCATTAAAGTAATTAGAACAGAAAATTCTAAGGAAATGAGGAAATCTCTTGAATGTCAACTCCCAAAAATAATAAGTCAAATGATTTAATCGAACTTGAACTAGAAAATAATGTGATTATAAAAAATGTTTTTGGCATGCAAAATGATCTTTAATAAATTTTACGTAGACAGTATCCAATTGATTGCTAATATGATTGATCATACAATACCAGATTTATCAAATTTTACACAATGGACATTTTCTTGGGAAGTTTCAACTATTCAATTCTTTAAAAGACATTCTTTTGCAATGAAAAATAAAAGTAGCACAGATGACATTTACCTTAATATTTTAAAAAACTGTTTTTTCAAAAAACTGTTTTTTCAAAATCTCAGAACCACTTTTAAATTTGATAAACTAGTCATTAGAAATATCAAAAATATTAAATGCTTTAAAAATTGCTAGGGTAGTCCCTGTTCCTAAAATAAAAACCGCAAATAAAGCTACTAATTTAAGACCTATTAGTATGTTAAGTTGTTTCGAAAAAACCCTTGAGAAGGTCGTTTATGAACAAATTGTTAATTTTTTAGAACATAATAAACTTATTACTAGAATTCAATCGGGCTTTAGAAGCAAGCATAACTGCAAATCAGCTATGTAGTGTTTTATATGATTATAATAATAATAATAATATAATAATATTTATTTGGCTTTGAGACATATATACTAGTATTTACAAATTTTTAATAATGTTCAAAAATTTATAAACATATAAGACCTATTAGCCTTGTCAACACATACAATTTTAAAAAGTAGAGACATGCTACAATTGAGTTTAAAATAAAGTACAAATTAAAAATCGTATACGATTAGGCAAAAACATTAGACAATAATTATAATAGATACCATTACGGATCACCGAGTACCTATCTTTTTTAAATTCTGCATAGGAATATGTTTTGGACGAAAGACATGCATAAAGCTTATTTCTGAATACATTAAAGATTTTTTCATTACGTTGTGTTGAAATTGAAAAAAAAAAATTCTACGCCACTGGAAAAAGTACGGTTTTGAGACGCCCATTTGAACCGCCAATGTTTTCTACACAAAAAAGGTACTCTTGGTCATACGCTCTAAAGTCAACCGTTTTCGAGAAAAATCAAATTTTGTTTCATCAAGTATGTATGACCATGTATTTCAACATTAAAATTTGATTTTTCTCGAAAACGGTCGACTTTAGAGCGTATGACCAAGAGTACCTTTATTTGTGTAGAAAACATTGGCGGTTCAAATGGGCGTCTCAAAACCGTACTTTTTTCAGTGGCGTAGAATTTTTTTTTTTAATTTTTACACCCTGTATCTCGAAAATGGTGCATTTTAGAGGGTAAGTTAATAGAAACGTTTTTTCATATTTTTGGGCGAGCTATCACGTCCTGAAGTCCTGCGCATATATTATGAAACACCCTGTATATCCCTGTATCATTATTACTAGTTATGTATACAGGGTGTTTCCGAACTTGGCGTCCAAATTTGTAGGGGTAGTAGTTCGCATAATTTGAGAGCGATTGGCAGATTTCATTTTTCTAAAAAAATTATAATAAACAAAATAGAGCCATTATAAAAAAAATCAAAAAGCAGGTCCTACCCTGAGCGCGTAGCGCAATAGTCCCCGGTCGGTATCGAAAGACGTAGCCGATTGTTTTTCTAGTGCGTATTGCTTTGTTGGGTTGTTTACCTCGCGTTCAGAGAATTGATTCCATCGCTGTGCAGGACCGTACCTGTTTAACATTTTTAATTAATTTTTAATTATTTTTATTTTAAATATTTTGGAAAAATGAAATCTGCGAATCGGTCTCAAATTATGCGAACTACCACCCCTGCAAATTTGGACGCCAAGTTCGGAAACACCCTGTATACTATGTAATTCACACAGCATCTCATGCAGTGCACTTAGTTCCGCATTATAAAAATTATTTTGTGTCGTTTAGGTTTAACTTTTTTAAATGTAAAAGCGTTGAAATGGTACAAAAAAGTCGAATAAAAGCTGTTAAATTTATTATTGAACTCCGATGAGTTATATATGTCTTCCCATGACTCGTTAATAATTATATTTGTAAAGATAAACTTGTTACTGTCACTTAAATCCCTAACAAAAATTTGGGTAGTTCCTACCGGATTTGTTATTTGCAAGTTGAATTCACAGAGTTGTAGTGAATGGTCTGATAAGAAACTATTTTGAACAATAACATTTTTATATTCAATATTTGTAGAAAGTGAATCAACTAAAGTTGAGCTAATACTGGTGACCCATGTTGGTTTTGTAACAATGTTGTACATGCCAAATTCCCTAAATGAAAATATAATTTGGATAAAAACTATTTAACGTTAGCAGTTTTTATAGATCTCCAACGGGTATTTGAAACTATTAATCAGAACCGTTTGATAACAAAATTAAAAAGTATGGGTATAGTAGAGCAAGCATTGGAGTGGTGTGTGGATTATCTAAGTAACAGGAAACAAAGGTTAAAAAGTAAATAACATCATATCAGAAAAAATTAACTATACCAAAGGAGTTTCACAGGGAAGCATATTAGGCTCACTGTTATTTTTAGTTTATATCAATGACATTGTTGATGTCAAGGGTCAATGTGACATTCACCTGTTTCCTGATGATGCCCTTATATATTTTTCTTGTAAGGATCCAGATAACTTAGTAAGAGTTAATGAAACTCTGAAAAATGCTTATAAAGGATGTTGCAATAATTTGTTAAAAATCAACACAAATAAAACAAATGTATGCTGATAAGTAATAATTATGGATATGTGCAATTTCTTGAAAAACAATATAACATCACAATTGGAGGAAATCCTATACAATTAGTAGAAAAATTCAAATACTTAGGGCTAATAATTGACAAACAGATGAAATTCACAGATCATGCCAACTCTGTCATCAACAGTATTGCATTTAAGTTAAATTTCCTATATAGCAGGTCATTTGGCTTATTAAAGTGGACTAAATGTATTATATACAAACACTATCATTCTACCTCACTTTAATTATTGTTCTACAATACTTTTTTTATTTTTTTATTATCTTTTTCAAGCATTAATATAATGCTTGAAAGAAACTTTGAATTGGATGCCAATCAAAAGTCTTTTATCAAGGAGTACATTAATTTTTATTTATGAAATCATACATGGGTTACTTCCAATGGGCCTTGAAAAAAGAAGTTCAGGTAGATGTAATCTTTATGGATTTCTCTAAGGCATTCGATCTCATAAATCATGAAGCTTTGTTATACAAACTTAAAACTCTAGGCATAAATGGTTTTTTCCTTAGTTGGATGAGGACTTATCTTACTGGCTGAATGCAAATTGTTAGGATAGCTAATTTTAAATCTATAGAGATAAAGGTAACATCAGGTGTCCCTCAAGGATCACACTTAGGGCCAATCCTTGTCATCCTATTTATTAACAACATAGCAGAGTCCTTCTCCCATTCAAAGTTTTTGCTTTTTGCAGACGATTTAAAATTATATAAAACTATTCAAAGGGCTAGTGATAGTCTAAATCTATAAGAGGACTCAAAACATCTTGTTATGTGGTGTAATAAAAACGTATGTCTTCAACAAAAGATTTACGGGGAGATATAACTTATTATTAATTTATTACTTGTTAGTTTTAACTTTGTATAAGTATTTTATCCAAAGTGTAAAGATATTGGGCACTGCCCCTTAATGATAAATAAATAAATAAAAGGAATTAACTTTTACTATAAACTAAAAAAGATATAAAGATAAAATTGTTACAGATTGATATTTTTTTTTTTTTTTTTTTTTTTTTCATGAATATGTGGGAAAAATAGGAACCTTACTAATAAAATGATTATTTCAATAGGACCCTCAGTAGGTGGTGGTTAATCTGAACATAGAATAGAATTCTTTATTCTCAGTATAATACTAATAAAATGATTTCATAGTCGTTAGCATTTAAACCCTTCTTATATACATAAAATATTGGTAAAATACACCACATTTTACATACCTACATGTAAAATTTAAAATAATAATACACTATTATAGAACAATGAAAATTTAGAATCTACTGGCTTACCTTGAGGACCTTTAAGCACAAAATGGTCTGTGGTATTATCAAAAACAGCATTCAAATGAATACCAAGGTGTTTACCATCTCTAACAGATTTTTCTTTATAATGTTCAATTTTCGAAATATGCTTAGCTGTTAGAAGTACAATTTGAGAGGGGTCAAGCTCATCTTTTTTCATTGGAAAATGGAATGATTCCTCACATATTTGTCTACATATATCTAATAAAATTACATCGCCTCCTTGTGTACCTATAGCTAGAATTCCATCAAAGTTTCTTAAAGGACCAGGTAAATTTAGATCTTCTACTCCTGGATCAACCACATGCAGAGATGATATCTGAAAATATGTGTGTCAAATAACATGATACTTAAGATTATTTGAGATATAAGCTTAACTCGTATTTATAAGTATCATTATTATTACATACCTTTTCTTTGATTTGAATGGCTCTTACGACCTTAGAACTAAAAACATCAAAAATACAAATAATTCCACCGCTTATCGTGCATTCAATGCCGACTACGAGGAGCGAAATTCGCCCATTCGGTCTTTGTAGTTCTTCAACACAAACAATTTTTGTGTTCGAATCTTTTAGGATTCCTCCAAAAACCCATGCACCAACTTTATGACCCAATTTTGTGTTTCTTACTTCCAAAACCGGCCCTTTGGCTTGCCAAATATAGTGGGTGTCTTGGAACACCCCTCCTAACAATTTTAAATCTGAAATATTACGTCTAATAAGTATTTCATACAAAAATAATTATATTTACCATTGGTGAATTGTGGATTTGTATCATATAAGGGCACGTAATTTAGACCCCCTTGTGGAAAATGTAGTATTTTTTTTACTGAGAAGGACATTTTTGAGGTTAAATTTTAAAATGTTTCTAAAAATGAATCAGTAGTTTTTTCCTATCATTCAGAATATAATTTAAATTTGTTTCCATTGATTTAACGCGGAATTTTTAATCACAATCACAGATAACAGCACCACAACAGTTATTTTTTTTAAAAAATCGTAAGATACAAGCAGTGTTGTTCCTAGGGATTTTTGAATTGTACAACCACAGAACACTTGACACTTGTACCACTTTCAGTGTCAAAATTGTACACTTTTACCAATGAAGTGGAGAGGGGTAGAATGATAACTGTCAATGAAAAAGTCTGGACACTATGCACAATTTCGTTTTGCACATTTTGTAAACAAAATTCAGGGACGGTTTAACAACATTTTGTACAACAATTATAAAATAGTGCATCGAAAAATAATTAACAAGTATAATTTAATACTAAATCGGAATAAAAGCATAAAAAATCATAAATATAAGCAAGATAACGAAGAATTGACGCCAAAAAAGTTTACAACAGCCAAAACACAAACAAAAAAACAGAGCTGAACATGAACATAATCGCTGAATAAAGTCGATCCTGGAATTTGTTTACAGTGCTTTAGGGCAACCTCTCCTTGTCATTTACGTGTGTAAGAATGGAAGGCTGAATCACGCATAATTTCTACACTCGTGATGGATGCGCAGACGGTACCTTATCGTTCTACCCTCTCTACTTCTTTGACTTTTACTTTCGATTGTACAACCACTAATTAATCTTCTTCTTTTTTATTGACAGACTATGGCCTACTACTTTCCCATGTTTAAAATTATTCTTTTTTTCCAGTTTAAAATATATTTTTGATGTAAAACGGTGTACTGATTTTTTATTAATTTTAATAGACTTTTTGAGCGAAGAAAACCTTTTATATACCCGATTTTACATAAATATTTAGCAATTTCAAATTGTACAACATTTCTGTCTTTTTTCAAAAGTGCGTACAACAGTACAACCGCATTACTGATTGTACAACTTTTTGTACAATTGTACAACCAGGAACAACACTCATTGCGTTCGGTTTGCTACGTTCCTTTAACTCCTTTAACACTTTTAACTCCTAACGACTCTTTTAGCGTTCGGTTTAGTCCGATTAGTGACAGTTTAACACGCTTAAATGTCATTTAAAAGCACCCTAAAATTTGTCCCGCTCCAGCCCCTGACTGACCGAACTCGCCTACTAGAGTGCGTTTAGAAACCCCGCACGGCGCGTCTGACCACAGTGTTCTGTGCTGACCACATGCATTAGAATAGGGCTCAGACGCGTCGTGCGGGGTTTCTAAACGCACTCCTGGATACAAGTACAAGTGACAAGCTAAGAGCATTCTTCTTCTTCTTGTTTTATGTGGTTATCGGTGGCCTCATGGCATCATGATTGCTAAGGACGTAATGACATCACGGAATGAAAAAGTGATTTGACAGAAAATATACTACTTGAGGTCGTACATTAGTTTTTTAAAAAATCTAATATTTTATGTGATGTTTATATTTTTATTTTTGAACTTTGTCCTGGTGTTAGAGTTTTTATATTATCGGTAGTTTGATTTTTTGAAAGACGAGCTACAAAACAGCAAGGAAAAATCATGTAATGATTTCCATCAAATTTCAAATTAATTACTTTTTATTAGAATTAAAAAATGAAATGAATTTGGATAGCTCTTTGTTTTTATATCCCGAAATATTTTAAAATTTTGGCAAGCCTGGAGTGGGTCATATTTTTGCAGTTGGCAAACAATTTTTACTATTTATACACAAAAATCGTTAGAAGAAATAAAGGGAGTGAGCCTAAACTGAAAATTAAAGGCTACTGCGGTAAGGTTTTCGAGTATTATTCTGAAAATATCATTCACTATTATTAAATTAATTGCAGCTCTGTCCACCCTACATTTAAAAGCAAGCAAGCATTAAACAAAAAGAAAAGCAAGAAAAGCAAGAAAAGCAAGAAAAGCAAGAAAAGCAAGAAAAGCAAGAAAAGCAAGAAAAGCAAGAAAAGCAAGAAAAGCAAGAAAAGCAAGAAAAGCAAGAAAAGCGAGAAAAGCAAGAAAAGTCAAAGGGCTTTACTAAAAAGAACCTACATTATTGAAAAAATTGTTTTCTACAGGAAGTTTCTAGTAAAAAGTAATTACAAATAATTTTATAGAAGAAAACAAGGGCCTGTTATACAAATGTATATTTATATCAATAAAAATATATTTTGTCAGTTACTAGGATGTATGAACAGTATAATTTACTAAAAAAAAAAAACCAATAAAACAGCAACAACCCAGTTTTATTTTAATAATAATAATCTGTAAATATTTGTACCAAATTAGAGAAAAACAGTGTGTTTATATACATACAATACCCAGAAGAAATTTAACATTACATATACTTGGAGTACTCAAATAAAACATCCAAAAGACCATATTGTAACTACTGTCTAATTTATTTATAGTTTATTTATTTAAAACACACTTTTTACAATTTATTTATGACGTACTATTTAATTTATATATTACTTAGACTAACAATTCTTATTTATTCTACACTTTAACTTTTCATTACAATGTTCTATACTAAACTAAACTGTGCGCCGATGAGTATGCTATTTATATCAATTTCAATTCTGTGCTCGTAGTTTCTAGGGGCTCCCGAAAATTCCATCTCTATTACTCAACGGCAGTTTCTCGAAGCGTCAGCGGCATACCTAGAAGATTTCGTCGTTTCTTGTATATTCGAGACTGTCTTCACACGTCAGCGTTGCTTCTATCATGAATCGAGTGGCAGACTTCCAAGGTCGCTCGCTTTAGAGTTTAGACAGAGACGGCTTAGAAATTTTCATGACAATATCTTAGATTTATTTTAGCAACGCACTTTTGTAAAGTTGAAATCTCCAGCAAGGGATACTTTAGAATATTTCTGAGGTAAAGATATAGCAACTTTTACTCAAATATATCTTCTCGTGAATGCTTTACAAACTTCTTTTCAACTCCAAAGGGGCCTTGTTTTCTTCTTTAAAATGATTTATAACTAAGTACTTTTTACTAAAAACTACATGTAGCAAACCTTTTTATAAATGTATGTTCTTTTAGTAAAGCCCTTCGACTTTTTTGCTCTCAGTTGTTTTTAATGTTTGTAAGAAACCATCTCATTTGCTTTTAAATGTAGAGTGGACAAAGATTCAATTAATTTAATAACAGTGAATGATATTTGCAGAATAATTACTCTAAAATCTTACCAGTAGCCTTTTATTTCAGTTTAGGCTCAGTCCCTTTATTTCTTCTAATCATTTTAGTGTATAAAAAATAAAAATTGTTTGCCAACAGCAAAACTACACCCTGCTCTAGGCTTGCCAAAATTTCAAAATATTTTGAGGTACAAACAAAATGTGATCCGAATTCAGCTCGGAGGCTGAACCCTAATCCAAAATGTTTTAAATAAATCATTCACACAATAGTATTTCTCTTGTAATTCAAATAAAAAGTAATTCATTTGAAATTTGATGGAAATCATTACATAATTTTTCCATGCTCTTTTGTAGCTTATCTTTTAAAAAATCAAATTACTCCAACACAGGTATATATTCCAAAAATAAAAACATAAACACCACTAAATAATAAAATATTTTATTTTTAAAAAAACTAATATACAAACCGCAGCAGAATATTTCCTGTCAGTTCGATTTTTCATTCCGTGACGTCACACCGTTCCTTAGCAACGGACCACCTGTTAATTATCCTTCCTTCATGCCACCTGTTGTCTTCGAACCCTGACCTTGACCTTTCTTTTTTTGTTTTTTTTGTAAGGTTACAATTTTTGTTGAATTTAATTTATTAAATATTAAATGGTGAATGTAAAATAAGAGCCTTTAAATATTAGTACAGGTGCTGTTGCTGTAATATCAAACAATTTTTTTTCTGGACAAACGTATTCTAAAAAAAAAAAACAACAAAGAACAGATGTAGGTACAGATTACACGTTATAGAAACAATAAATCTAGAAACGAACACGAGAATGTGCTTAAAACCGACAAAACGGAGCAAACAACAAACTGAAATAAAAATGTTAATAGCCTAAAATTGAACGTTTGGATTTGCTACCAAAAATTAATCATGAAAACGAAATCGGTGAACACTAGTGAAGTTAAAATTAAGGATATGAGAGATATAACAGATATTCAATCTAAAGATAAACTATTGACCAGTGAGTGTTTTGTGCTATTGACCAGGCATCCTGATTTGCAGACTTTAAAAAATAAAAATACTGAATATCTAGAATGTTTGGCAGAATCATGTGACAGGAAACAAAATAAAAGGATATCGACTTCGTCAAAAAGTAAGAAATGGTCTAAAAGATACCCTATAAAATTACTAAAAATTTTAATATACCTAAATAAAAGTACTTTGGTTGAATCGGTCATAAACAAGTTTTTATTTTAAGCACTAGATACATAGGTATATGTTTTGTTCATAATAAATAAAAAGAATTGTTAAAGAAGCGTTACAATGGCCGTATGTTTACCTAGGCAACTATACACAAAAAAATGAAAATAAATCTCAAATGAAATGGAAAATTGTTTTGGTGTACCTCAGAGAAGCATGTTGGGTCCTTTATTATTTTTTCTTTTATTGATGATATAGAAAATATAGTCAATGATTTCTCTATCCACTTATTTGATTGTTGTTATGACTAAATAGTATGTTAATTCCTGTAAATAGAATAGAATGAGAGGTATTGTGCGTTATGCCAATTACCTTAAAATTAATTTGTCAAAAACGAATTTTATATTAATAGGGAACAGCAAATATGATAATTTTAACAATAATAGTAAAAAAAAGTGTTTAGTAAATAAAATAAAATATTTAGTTGTTATTGCTGATTTGTTGAATCAAAATGAATTATCTTTTTTTGTAATTTTATTGTCGAACCAAAAAATGTTTGTGTTTTCTAAGGCACATAAATATTATTATATTATTAGAAAATTGCTAAATAACGGACTTATACATTGTACCCCAAAAAGTTTCCTACAAATGGAAAAAAGTGGATCTTACATTTCACAAAAATACCTAGGCTTCTCTTTGAAATCACTTAAAAATAATTGCAATGATTTATACTTAACCATGTCTTTTTTTAATTCCTACCAAACATTTTCAATTCATATCTTGTTTAT